AGGCCTTCATACAACATACTGCTGGGAATCTATCAGTAACCTTATTTGACAAACATAAAATCTAAATTCTCCATTTTTGTAGCTAATTCAGAACAGTGCTGCATAAAAATATGTAGGGAACAATTCACAAATAGTAACTACAAGCTACAGAGTTTAAGACAGCATGGCAATTCTGGGGCTCTTAGCTGGGACACTTAAAGGGTTTTACAAATTTAAAGTAGAACGTGACAGTGGTGAGATCAGTTATTATTCATCCAAGTTCATCCATTTTTTTTTTTTTCTTCTTTTTTCCACAAGAGAGGAGCAAGAACAAATGTTCCAAAATACTTTAATTTCACTCTGGAGCAAAGTTCAACTTACAAAAGCATCTAGTCTTGTACAATTACAGTTGCATATATCATAAATAACCTCGTCCCTAACCTTAGCACGTGTAATGATAATAAACTCATAACTGTCTCTTTATCCCCTTATTAATACACTTGTTATATAAAGAGCTGATCTGAGATAGTGAAAACTTCCTCAAAAGGAATCAAAGACAATAAAAAAGTTGGGGAGAAAAAAGAGAAAACAAACGTGTCACTGGGGTCCCAAGAGAGAGCATTTATAGAGAACTTAAAAAACAGCACCACCAAGATGCCAGCTAGTTAGGAGAAATAAAATGGAAGAGTGATGCTGATATGCGCTGAGTAATCGCATAAGAATAAAAGTGAACTGATGAAATCTTGTAGACATCAGATCTTTTCTTCATCGAGCAACAGGAATCTGTTCAAGGGAATATCACTAAATGGCACTGAGGTTTATTAAATAAAAGCAAAGGAAGAGAAACACTCTTCAGATTGCAACTGTACCCAGCATGCGTTAAAATGAAGGGCTTCCAACTTGCATTGGAAAGAAAACAGACTTAGAGATGGACTTCCAAATTATTCAGACATGTCCCTATCTTAACAGGGATGGAATGACCCTAGTGTATTGTGAATTTTTACTTTGAACTGGAACTAATATTTTTCTATCATGTTGGATCAGTTTTATGCTTTTTTTTTTTCTGCATCACATTATATTATGTAGATTTTGACTGCTACTGAGCACTGAGAAGGATTTCTATACTGTGCTGGATGTTCCTTTTGCCTTTTGCAATGACTGATAAGCTAGAACAGGACCATGCAAACAAGCAGTTCAGAATTTTCATTCTTATGTGCACTAGGCTACGTTTGTCAATGTCTGACTGTCATCAAGCATTATGCTGCCAATTTGTCTACTTCTGTTTCTATGAAGTTCCTCACAGCCTCGTCTTATAAAGATTTACACTAAATAATTTTGTCATCTGCAAATCCTGCTGACCTCATTTTTTTCTTCTACCCTTCCTTTCTGCCTCTCCAGATAATTAATGAATATATTAAGTACTATCTATAACGCAGATCCTTGGGACATACTAATATTAACCTCCTGCTGAATTGAAAACTGACAGCCTAATGAATTAAATTCTCCACATAAGAATGGTGCTGCAATAGAAATCAGAATGAGTTGAGCTTCATCCCTAACCTGAAGAAGAGGGGGAAAAAAAATCACCAGGAAAACAACTTCAGCAAGTACAAACACCTGCAATTGCTACTGAATGTTACTAGACTTGTAAAAAAAAAAAGAGGCTACTGCGTACAGCGTACAGTTTTATGCATCTCTAAGAGCTGTTGTCCATACTTAAAGAAGCTGGATATACCTTAATAAATAAGATCACCTGATCTCTGTGTAACTCCTTCACTTGCTGCTTGAAGAATCATTAAGCAATCAGTAATACCTCAAGCATTTTTCACCTGCAAAATCGTTAAAAGTACTTTGACAGAAATATCCTCGCACCCCAAAATTTACTTGGGTATATGAAAGAATCATACAATCATAGACTCAGGAAGGATAATCTGTAGGTTTTAGAGCTAATTTGAACAAGATGGTGCAATCAGCCTTCATACTTCGATCTGTACAGATTTTAATGCACACATAACACTGTATTCTGGTGTACATTGCAGCATCTCCTGCGTTTTCTTCTATCATTCCACTGCAGTAAGTTAAATCTTCTTTGGAAGAACTCATTATTGAAATAACAGCAATTGTGCTATGTTTCTTCAAGGTCAGCAAGAGTCCCTGATTTTTTTTTGTACTTACGTGATCTTAGAGTGGAAAGTAAACTCTAATTTTACATTTGAAATGCATGTTATATACTGCAAGCATGCATGGAAAAATACAGAAGTATCTTGCTGAGTAAGTAGGTACAGAAGCCTTCTAGAGGCATAGCCTCACTTTGAACATTGTGTGCAGTTGTGGGTCCACAATATAAAAAGGATTTTAAGATACATGAATACATTAAGAGGAGGGCAACAAAGGTGATGAAAGGGCTGGAAGGCATGTCCTAGGTGAGCAGAGGCTGAACAAAAGGAAAAATTTCTTCACTGTAAGGCTGGTCAAACAATGCTTCAGGCTTCCCAGAAGAGGTTTATTCCCTATGCATGTTAGTGTTCAAGAGGCATTTGGATAACAAAATCATTACCAGTGCTAGGATAAGCAAAGTCAAGACTTCTGCCCAAAGTACTTCTGCTGGAAGATAGAAGAGATGCTGAAGCGTAATAAATTGTCCCATGTTGGTGTTTAAAGCATAGAAAATAAGAAAACAGTTTGGAACAGTGTTAACATTTAAAAAGACATAGAACTATTGTATATGATTGCCCATTTAACACTTCTGAGGTGTACATACCATAATATGAAATCAAGTAACCTTGAAAAGATCATAATTCATTTTTCTTATTGCCATTACCTAAGTCATTAAACATATTCTTAAGCCTATTTATACATTTGACTAATTATTCTCAAGGTTTAAGACTTCTGTGATTTCCTAAATTTCCCTGATGTATTTGAGGGGAAACAAAGGTTGGGATATTTGTTTTTTTTTACTCTTCTATTTCTTGTGAATTCTCATCACTCATGCATTCATTCAGTTGTTCAGTGAATAGCTCATTAATATGATTTCCATCTCTGTATAAAGGCACATGGAAAAAACACTATTATGTAACACTTTGAAAAGAGCTATAAATAGGCTTCTTTAATAACCATAAATTTACATTAGAAAGGTAGATAAACTCTGATGTTAAAAACGCTTATTTTTATCTGCTGTTACTGTTTCATAATCTCAGTGTTATCAGACACATCCTGAATAATTGAGTAAGCCCTTGGTGTTTTATACTATCTGGGAAAGTCTTGCACATCAAATGGCTTTATAAAATAAAACTACCCATGGCAGCCAGGGCAGACTAGATAAAGCAACGAATGAGAGATTTGGCTGTGATTTGAGTGATGCTTCTAAACAAAAGTGGTCCCTTCCAAATAATTTGAAAGAAATCAACTTCGCTAGAATTTAACACTCTTTCCTTATTACCATTAACTGGCTGCCTTGATTTTAGTAATTTCCTGAATTTATGCCTTCCTTTGGCCAAACATCTTCTCATGACGCAGCTTGGAAAGAAAATACTGGCAGGAATAACGAAAGTGTTCAGTTTTACAGTTGCTATAAATCCATCATTAGTTTTGCAGAGAATAGTTGTAAGGCTGAGAGTGTTCTCATAAAATCTTCCATATGCGTATGAAGACACAAAAAGTCTAATACAGTAAATTGAACATGATAACTCCACCAGTAGAGAAAGCAATAAAGAAATAATTGAAAAATGAATGTTGTTTTATATACTCTGTTTCTATGATATCCATTTTAAAGTAATGAAAAGTAATGCACTTTCTGGCAATTCAATCTCTGTAGCAGCAGATCAGAGTCCTAGCAGAGGCAGGTACCTGAACCACACATGACAGCAGGATGGATGCAAACTCAGTGAGTTCTGCCAGCAGCTGTGTAGGTTTGCATGTTGGTAAGACCTTTCATACAGTTTTGAAATAATGGCTGATTAAAACCAAACACTCAAGTAGAATGATCTGCAAACTACTGACTCCCACCACCCCTGTCACAGTAAGAAGGGATGTTTGTTACAATCTACTTTTCTTCTCTTGGCTGTTTAAGTGCATCTTCATGTATAGGACTACTTTACTTCCATGGCTGGTGCTTCTTTGATGCAGATATTTTACAGGGCTCTGCAGATGTGAGGATGGAACCAAACAGCAAACTAAGCAGGAAGAAAGCAAAGCAATGAAAGCTATAGAAATAGTCAGCCAGGAAATACACATAAAGCACTGTACTTTGAGAGCATAGATGAGTAAAATAGACACAATGAGGGCAGCTCAAGTGTTATCAGATGTGGCCTGATAAGAAGGAAGGAAACTGACCATTTTTCCCAGCTATTTTGCAGGATATAATTTTACTCTCCTTAAACAAAGAACACCAGAAAAAAAAGGTTCTGATATCTCTGATATTCTCACATATTCTCTGATATTCTACTAACAGCCCACTTTCTTTCTCCAACTCCATTAACCTGCCCTTTTCATTTTCTACTCAGCTTGGTGTATCTTCCTTGGATTCTCAACCATGGAATCCACATTCTTAGAGCAGTCTTTCCATTAAACATACTACAATTACAATTACTTGGTTGCCTTTCTTCAGACCTTAATTTATTTGAAAGGTTCATAAAGGCAACAGCACAGATTTTTTTTTCATTGATCTTCTGTGTGAACTCTGATTTTTCTAGTTTCATGAAACTGTCCATACAATTAGACTGCATACAATGCATTTATCTGCTCATGCAACGCAGAGCCCTATATTGTTAACACATATAGACATATCCATGTAGGATATAGTTGAAACTGCTCTATCAGCAATGCTAGGCTTAAACAAGTATACTTCAATAGAATCTTCCAGACCTCATGATGTTACTTGGCTAGAATTTAACTTTTTGAGTTGCAATAGTTCACCCTTGGTATTTTGTTTGTTCTGTTTAGAACTACTTTGGAAGATTTAAAATTATTCAGACATTTTAAAATATGAAATGCCCGAAAGTAAAGGCAGGTGATTTTTGGCTAGTTGCTTTTTTTGTTTTGTTCTTTCTTTTCTTTTTAAGTAAGCTTTTTCTTCTGAAGCTGATGTTTTCTTTGATCAGAATTTGGCAGATACTCAGGCCTCAATCCAGGAACGCATACAGATACACGCTTAGTATCCACATCAAGTTGGTTCAGCCTTCCTGAACATAAGCCCTGCAAGCAGTTGTACTGCTAAAACAGGACACCTATTGTACATCCTCAAGATCTGAGGCAGGGGAAGAGCTGATGCAATTCTAAGAGAAGACAAGTGAAAAAGCTGCATCAGCACCTGGTGTTTTGTTATTTACTCAGTGTATTTTGATTGCCTCTCAAATTTCTTTAAAACACAGTTCTTCTACTCAGTCTCAGCTGCTTGGAGAATAACAGTTTATTGTTTGCCTTCATCCTTCTCACAGCTAAACAGCTCATTAAAGTACTCCCCATTATCATTCAATAATTGCATTCTTTGTGACCAAAAACATTTCCATTTTTGCTCCTCATCAGGCTTACTTTTACATTCCTACCAGTGTATAAACATCTCACTTTACAAAAACATCTTTCCTGCTACTATTGTCTAATGTGCCAGCTAACCACCATTCCACATGAAAATATTTCTACACACTTTGCATTGCCATTTCAGCCTGAGAAAGATGTGCTGACTCCATACTAGTCCCATACTAATACAGAAAAAGAAATCAAAGCACTGCAGCAATTATACTGGCAACCAACAAGTTTAGTAACTTCTCAGAGTGTGCAGCAAGTCTTCCTCCTAAGCTATTCTTTTCCAAAACAGTCTCTAATGATAACGCAGTGCCACAATGCATACTTTCAATTTAAGTAAGTAGAATACTCACTTCATAATTTTACTGTCTAATGGAAATTGCAGAGTTGCTCATCAATGTCTCCTCCATAGTGCACTTCTTACAATTGTTTTGAAAGCTTCTGAGTATGCACTTGTGTCAAATATTTAATTGCTTCAGGTCTTAAGCGCACGTTGATGTTACTTATGAAATATTTTAAGTCATCCAGGTCTAACTATACAAGAACAACAATCTTCCAATAATACAGAATAGTTACTCATCAGGTACTGCAGATTAAGATACACTCAGATTGCAAAACCAATTTTTAACAGCTAGGCAACACTTTTTTCTCATCTCATTCAAAGCAAAGCACTAGCTATCTACTCCTTAGCCACTCTGCTGTAATTACACTGGAATTGACTGTAAACGTAAGGTATTGATTTGATCATGGGTGATTTTATCTCATCCTTTCCTAATATCCGAGTCTTTTCTGAACTTTTCTCCAGAGCACATCTATGAAAGAAGGTTACGAACTCTGTGACAGAGTACACAAAGAAGTGTCAGTTTTTTGGGGAGCAGTGTAGTGTGTAGTGCCTTGATTTGCCAGAACTTTTATACCATAAATATTTCTGGGCCCAGTTCCCAGTGATTTACATTGCAGCTGTGAAGTTCAGCCCTTCTCTAAAGTCATGCCATTTCATTATGTGCATTCAGAAAATGAGCAATATACAAACAGAAGCTGCAGTGAAAAGTGAACTGTCCAGCACAACACATCTCCCTAGGACAGAACAGGGAACAGTCCGACAACTAACACACTATAGCTGAATAAATACTGGAAAAAAAGTATACTCCTAGGTAAATAAGTCCTGCGTAAACTTACTTGCTTAGAATAGATGAGAACCAGTGAACTCACTAATGTAAATTGTAAGTGGGCAACATATCAGCTGTGCCCCTGGATGGCATCCAAACTCTCTAAACAGAATTCAAATACTTTAAAAACAAAATGATTCTTCCCTTCTTTGCGTCCCTTTTCTCACTGAATATCTAACCAACTTCATTCATGACAGAAGTGATTACTTCAAGGAGCTTGACTTTTCTCATGTACTGAATGGTAAAGAGATCATACTGTTAAACATACGGCGAGATAATTATACACGTGAGCAGACACTGTCAACAAGATATGACTGCAATATCAGTCTGGCTTTTGACTTACAAAATACAATGTTTTTTTCAGAGTACTTTAAGGTGTGTCCAAACTTCTAAAAAATCAAATTAATAAATACAGAAATTCCATCATATGCAACCACAGTTATTCCTACGTACACCATCCATTCATTTTTAATTTTCAGCAAAAAATACCTGCAATAAAGTGAAATGAGCACTACAGTGCTGTCCTCCACTACAAAGTCCAATAAGTACCTTGTGGTAAAGCATATGTTTTGCAAGGTATTTATTTACAAAGAAACAGGGAAAAAAATGCTTAATTGAAATATGTGCTTCTTGGATTCCATTTCAGAATCTGAATTCTTAAATAATTAAAGATCTATCAGTGCTGGTTAAGTCTTCACTCTCTTCTTGCCATGTTGTCCTACTTCCCATGCTGTCTGACTGCTCTTCTGGGCACTACAGGAAAAGATCAAGCCAGCGTAAGGCCAGCTGACGAAATCCACCTACTTACTGTGCTCCTTGGAGGGGCTCCAAGCTGCTCACACCACAGTCACCACTGCATTCACCTGGCTTACAGAGTTCACGTCTCACGGAGTTCCCTTTCTGGCTTCCTTAACCTCTTTCTGCACTTTGGTCCATGTACCACTTCTTCACCTATGGCATGAAGAGTACAAGAGAATACGTTTTCCTACTCGAACTACATAGAAAGGATGTAGGATGTATGCGAAGGATGTATCGTTTATTACAAAAGCGCTGTTTAGCCTAGCTGTTAGTAACACAGTAAGTAGCACAACCAGCGCAGTGACAGTGCAATATATAGCGATGCATAATGTAAAAGTTGAGAGGTGACACGCACCTCCTCACTGGTGTTTTTGAACTGGGGGGAGGATTCAGGTTGCGTTTTTTATCGGTGAAGTCCATTATAACCAAATTGCCGCACACCCCCGTGCCTCGGACGTTCAACCAGTCCCTTATCGACCTCAACCACGCCAGGGCGACAGGGCAGGGCAGGCCCGGCCCGTCCCCTCTCCTCCCTTCACCCCTCCGCCCCCCCCGGGGCGCCGTCCCGCCCTGCCCCGCCGCTGACGTCCCTCCGCCCGCGGTGCACTGCCGCCCTTTCCCGCCCCCAACGGCGGCGCTCCCTGTGGCGGAGCATGGCTCCCCCCGCGCCTCGGGCGCTGCTCCTCCTGCTCCTTCTCTACCGCCTCGCCGCCTCCTCCAAGCTCAACATCCCCAAAGTGCTGCTGCCCTTCACCCGCGGTACCCGCGTCAACTTCACGCTAGAGGCCAGCGAAGGCTGCTACCGATGGTGAGTGCAGGTGCCGCCGCTCTTTGTCCGCCACTTCTCCCGGCTGCACCTGCGGCGTTCCCTCCTTCCGCCCGGGGGGAGCGCGAGCCCCGACCTCCGGGCACCGCGCCGTGCCGCAGCGGGAGCCGCGCCGCCAGGCCGCCCGCCACGCGGGCTCACGTCGCTTCGGCGCTCCGCCCGCTCCCCGTGCGGAATCCCTGAGGGGAAACACCGTTCCCGCCCCGCTCCCACACGTGTCCTCGCACTGCAGCCTTGTTGCCGCTCACGCCCTGCAGCAGCGCAGGTGTGGGCACGCCGCCCGGGCTGCGCGCTCCGTCACCGCTGTAGAAATGCCCCTTCCTCGCTGAGTAACGAGGGACCGCCGGGTCGGGGTTTGGTTACCAAGGCGAGCGAGGGACTGAACGACAAATAGCTGTTGCAGATTTAGAAACTGTGTCGTGGCCTCCGTGTTAAATGACTGCCATCAGCTCCTTATCTCCTATTTAATAAACCTAAACTATAATTTAGATGAGCAGGAAGTTTCTGTTGAAGAAACTGTGGCAGCCAGGATATGTTCAGGAGGCCAGACAGGTGCTGGCAGCTTTCAGCTGTTAGTTGGTAGCTGACAGTTACTGAAGCACGTTGTTTTAGGTCTGTTTTCACTGTATCTGTTTATTTGTGCTATTACCCTTCCCATCCCTGTGTAGTTCCGTGGCTTAGGTCTGTGGTAACTCAGGTGTTATTCCACGTATTGGAGCATCCAGAGTTGGCTGGAAGCAAGTTAGAGCCAGCTGCACGTGGTGATGTAAGTTACTTACATGGGCTGCTTTAGTGGCAAAGTGCAGGGATTTTCCTTTCTGTAGTCTTTGGAGGTAACTGAGTCCTTAAAGGCTTTGCTGTGGGGGGTGAAGTACATTCTAGAAAGTAGGAACAAACTCATCTAAGCACTAGTAAAGTCTGGGAAGTGTGGGCAGCCTTCCCTGTACTGCCAGTGACCAGCTGGCTGATGCTGGGCTGGCTGCTGCCCTTCCTGCACATGCCAGACACTGTCAGAAGTATGTGGGCATCTCTATATCACACTAAGGTCTACAGATGGAGGATAAGACTGTGCTCTAGAGAAATGCCATACTTGGTCCATTAGAGAGAGATCAAATGAGAGTGATCTGTAGTCATTACAGAGCACATTATGCTGGTAGTTTGCCATGAGTCACGTACCTGGTGCACATTGGCTTCAGCAGTTTCCATCCTCTATGTCTTTAGAGATAAATTTTGGTTGAGAATTAAGGAACCTATACCAGCTTCATACAGGATGCCATCACTTTCTGTACTGGGGTTGTAAATGTGTTTTTGCTCACTTCTGCTTTGCAGGGACTGGCAGGATGTGGGTGGTAAAACTCAACATGCTTGCAAAACTGTCAGAAGGAAGCAGTAGCTGTGTGTGTGGGACTGAGCAAAAGTAGTAATGCTTGTCATGCTCTGAGTGTGCTTGCTAGACTGCATCTGCATCTCTCTGCATCCTTGCCCTTGTGGGCCTTGAGCTGCAGGGTATTAGGAAGAGATAAAGCCTGCAGGGGCAAGTCTATATTGACTTGCTGACAAGTTTCCGGTACTTTATGAAAAGGCTGTTGGTAGTAGCTGCTAACGGAGATAGGCCATTAAGCTGCAGAAGTTTGGAAGTACCAATATAATGAGCTCAGAAGTAGTGATCATGTCTGTAAAATAAGGGTTAGGTTTCCGTGTGTAAAAGCAAAAATTAGACATTTGGGGCTGTTGATGTGTCTGAGGAAGGAAGGAACTGAGGTTGTCTAATGCAGGTGATTGTAGGGTGGGAAGTAGCATATGAAACCTGCTCTCATGTTATCAGTATCTGTCTTCCAGAGTTGTCTCTTTTCCTCTTTTCCTCTTTTCCTCTTTTCCTCTTTTCCTCTTTT